AGATTTTCATTATTTCCCTTTTCTTTTACATTACACTTCTGTTAAACTGACAAAGAACTTTTGTTTCGAAGTGTGTTTTACAGAGGGAGGCTACACTGCCACACATGTGGTCTTTCACGGGTCAGAGGTCGAACGGCCTAGAAGTGGCTAAGATCGGCAGAATCAAAGGTAACCTGCAACTTAATATCCTGTTGATGATCTTGTTGAATTTATGAGTGTCTGTGATACAGACAACGGTGCAAGTGATTCTGTTAAATCGGTCTGTTCTTTTCAGGTTAAATAGACAGCATCATCTCTCCACCATTCCCACCCCCATTCCCTTTCCTTAAGGGGAAAAGAAAAAAAAGTTTGAACGGCATAGTGACAGACGCATCTTATCTCCAATTTAAACAGGTCAGGTTTCCTTTCTGTTTTCCTCTCCTTCCAGATATGAATATACCTATATATCTATTCTATTCAGGAAAGTCGAAATAAACTTTTCACCCAGAAATGCACAATGAGAAACAGATTTACCATTTGAAGTACATTGGGTCTTTGGGGTATACTTTATACTTCTTGAGCATTGGTTATCATTGTTCTCCTACCCGCCCCACCCCCTACACACAACATACCCCCCCCAAAAGAGGGAAACAAAAAACACAATGCAGCCTAATGCACTCTCCAGCCCTCGCCAACCCCACCATCCCCATGCTCAAGGAACCAGTAGCAAGCTCCAGTGCGATTTGAAAATAACAAGGTTGGAAAACTTACAAAGAGGGAAATGTTTGCCCAGTTGAGGCAGTTGTTTGTTGTGCTGCAAAACGGGCACTTCCAGAAACCTGTTGAAAAACTTATTTCAGTGCAACAGTTTACTGCGAAGTTTGGCCGCTTTCTTTCTTCAGAGAACAAGTTAAAGTCTATATTTGTAGCAACAGTTCTCAAAACATTTGCAGTTTCTCTTTCTCAACTCCCTTTCGATCCATCTTGCTCTTTCCCTCTCTCTCTCCCCTTCCCTTCCTTTTTCACCCAGTGACAGGAGGGAAAGAGGTTTGCGGTTTGTAGAGAAATAAAGCACTTCTTAGAGGGGACGGCGACGTGACTTTGAACTTGGATCAGCTCCTCTGTTTCCTGCAGAGAGAGTAGAACTGGAGCCCTGAAAGAATAGCAAAGAGAGTCCAGCCTGCGGGGTCTCCGACTGGAATTAACGAATTCCCTACAAACTACCCCAATGCAGTCTCCTGAAGCCACAGAGCCAGAATTCAGCAGGGTGATCTTAGTATGAGAATGGTAATGAGAAAAGGAAGAATCAAAGAAAAATTAGAGAATAGGAGAAAGGGCAAGGGAAACAGAGAGAAATCAAGAGAGAAAAGAAAAGAGATAGATGGAAGGTAAGAAAGAGGGAAGGGAGAGAAGAGAAGAGAAGGGATCATAATAGATTTGGCTTTCCAGTGTATAAATAATTCTTACAATCAAATGTAAACAATTTTTACAATCAAAATAGAAGAAAATATTTTCTTTCGGGAATTGTTACTAAGATATTTCAGTTATTCTCTCTTCATCCTAAAGACCAACATGAATGAGTAAATAATAGTGTGTATAGTTGTTATATCTGAATATTTTGGACCAAGGTGAAGTAATGGGATAGACTCTCTCTCTCTCTCTCTCTCTCTCTCTCTCTCTCTCTCTCTCTCTCTCTCTCTCTCTCTCTCTCTCTCTCTCTCTCTCCCCTTTTTTTCTTTAAGGAGTAGGGGACCAGCCGTGGTTGCCCACTTTCTTAAACGCTTAGGCAGATAAGTGAAAGGGGAAACCCCCTTGATTTCAGGGAGAAAAGCTCAGACTTCTAAGAACTCCGCGGAAACAACTCGGCTTTTGGAGGAGGTGTCACTGCCCAGAAGAACAACGACCGTGAGTGGCAGCTGGGTTGCAGGTTTAAGAGCTGGGGCAAGCCAGAAGAGGCGAGTTGGGGCAAGCCTAGAGGGTGGCTGGGGAGCACAGTTGATTTTCTGGGATCTTCTTGAAACCTAGAGAAACAAACAAACAAAAACGGCTTTTGAAGGAGAGAGTAAGACAAACCAATATTCCCCAGCTCTAACTGGTTTTGAGGCAGACGTGTTTGATTTCCTTTTTACCTGAACTCAAACTCACAAAAACCTGTAAACAAAACTCCTGATTTCCGTGAATCAGGCGAAGAAAGTCGGTGACAGTGTCTTTAATTCACACCTCAGCAGACCCCGGATTCTTCCTTCTTCTTTATCTGTTTAGTTCTATCATTTTGTTGTTGAACAGGAAATTACTAAAACCTCTCAGACTTTTCAAGTTATCCCAAGAGTGTCAGGTCCTTCTTCTGGTCTTCGATGTGGGGACTTGTGCCGTGCATTAAGACAGCTAAGACAAAAAGGCACGCTGGTCTTATGACAGTGAAAATGTTTTACTCCACGCACATGATGATGGTGATGGTGACGATGATGATGATTAATAATAACGACAACAACGTGTTTAGACCTTGGAAATAAAACCAAAAGCCGTGTATGTCTGGCTTGGTCTCTTGGGGGGGGGCATGATGCTGACTCACATACAAATTTGGGGAGAGGGCTAGCTTTAAAACACCCACAAAGGTAACACCAACCACTCCCAAACGATCCTGATTTGGACGTTGACCCCAAATAATTACACTGTATTTAAGCAACTTCAAAACAAGCCCCAAATTGGGGTCGGGGCCTTGTAAATATTTAAATAAGAAGGTTTCGGCTGAAGAGAATAGCAGAAGGAGAAGGTGATTTTGCTGTTTGGGGGCCCCCAGTGAGGGTGGGGGTGGTGTTTATGTGTGTGTGCTGGGGAAAGAGCTGTTTCTCTTCCTTTCTCTCCTCCCTTCGTTCTTTCTCTTCCTTCCACCCCAGGAGCAGTTTTTTAAAATGTAAAATTAAAAGAGGGAAGGAGACACACAAAAAAACCCTGAAAAGGAAGCACTTCTCCTTGCATCCCATTTCCCCATTCTCCCTTTTCCCCATTCCTCAAGCCCAACCCAGGAGGCTCTTAGCACAGACTTGTAGTCTCTAGTGTGTTTATCAGAATTCTTCCCCTGTTCACTCGCAACTTCTCAGGGTCCCTTTTGCCAAACCGTTCTTCTTGTTGTTTTTTAAAAAACCGTAATGGCAGCAGGAACTAAATTCTTTTTGTGTCTGTCTTTGTGGCACTTGTAATGCTGGTGGCCGTAGCTGCTGCTGTATTTGCCAGAAGCCAATGACCTTTTCCAAAAATCCCAGGATATGAAGGCTGTCCTTCCTTACCTTTCTAGCCCCCTACCCATTCTAACACTGCACTAACAAACCTGTGACCCTGATACACACTCGCCCTGAGCCAAGTGCAGTGGCGCCCATCGCCTTGTGCCTCTGGCGCCCACCACCACCGCCACCCCAGCTCTCTCCAGAGCCTCTTCCAGTGGTGGCGGTGGGCCCTGGCGCTGGGGGCGCAAGGTTCCTGGATGTAGCTGCTTCTGCTGCTTCAGCCTCTTGGACCCAGCTAGGCGAAAGGGTTGGGGGGGGCAGGGGAGGGAACAGGGTAGAGAGAAAGAGGAATGGAAGCTAGAAGAGAAGCTATGGGGAGGCGCGAAGGACTTGGGGCCCAGATAGCGGCGATTAGCCGACAGGGAGGTAGAGTTGGCAGAGGGGAGGGGGAGGAGGAGGGGCCGGGGAAGGGGAAAGTGTGGATTGACTGTGCTTCTGTGACCAATGAGCTGGCGCGGTTAGAGTGACCGTACGGTTGTTAAAGGGGGCGGTGGAAGAGGAGCTGCCAGTCCAGACAGAGAGGGGAGGGAGGGAGGGAGGGAGAGAGACTAGAAAAGGGGAGGAGGAGAAGAAGAAAGGGGGTGGGGGGAGGGGAGAGAAAAAAGAGAAAGCAAAAAATAAAAAATAAAAAACGGAGACCATAGCAGCGCCCCCCGATATAAAGCGGGGGGAGGAGAAAGAGGGAGAGGTGGTGGTGGCAGCGGCAAATAAACCCCAACGCCAGGAGAAAGGGAAAAGAGATTTCAGCTTTGGATTCCCCGCACTTGCTAGCTCCAGAGAAAATACTCCATCCTCATGAGCTGCTGCTGTTGCTGTTGCTACTACTGGCACCGCTGCTGCTGCTGCTGATCTCCGGCTCCCTGCCTGGGCACTGAGAGAGACAGAAACACCGAAAGAGAGAGAGAGAGAGAAAGAAATCACTTTTTTTAATTGTTGTTATTGTTTTTAATTCTCCTCCCTCTCCCCCTCACCCTTCTCCTTTTCCCCTCCCCCTTCCCTTCTTTCCCCTCCCACTGCCATCTCCATCACTGTCGCCACAACCTCCTCCTCCAACACAACTTAAAGAAAGACAGAAGCGTCTGATTCCTTCATCTGTGGGAATTCGTTGCTGCTGCAAGTTTACTACGTGAGATACATCCAATGCCAAGCACGAAAGAAGAAGAGGAGGGATAAAAAACAAACCTCAAACCCTGAATCATAACAATACCCATAGCTGAGAGGAGAGGAGTGGGGAAGGGGGAAAGAAAATCCCAAAGCCGGCAGCTAGAGGAGCAGGAAGGGGAGTGGATTGCGCCGTCCTCCTCCAGGGCCACCCCTGCTTCCCACTCCCTGTTCCCCACCAAGATCAGGTGGAGAAGAGGGAACTAGAAGAGGGGGTAGTGCGGCTCTTTGCGCATCTTCACTCAATCTGCTTCTCTGCCTCTGCTGTGCAGTTTGAATTTTTTATTTGACTTAATTTTAATCTAATTTTGGGGGGGAGTGGTGATTTCTGTGATAGTGACACAGATCTCAGCGGCGGGGTGTGTGTGTGTGTGTGTGTGTGTGTGTGTGTGTGTGTGTGTGTGTGTGTGTGTGTGTGTGTGTGTGTGTGTGCGCGCGCGCGGGCGCGTGTGCGTGTGTTGGGGTGGGGGGGCTGTGTGTGCTGGAAAAGGCACAGCGCTCGCCCCCCTGCAACCCCCCTCTCATCTCGTCTCCCCCCTCCCTCTCTCCCTCCCTCCCTTTCCCTCCCCTGCCCGCCCGCCCCCGCCACAGCTCCTTTAATACACTTTGGTTCTCCGCCTGGCTTTGGACTCTTCTTCTTCTTCTCCTCCTCCTCCTCCTCTTCCTCCTCCTCCTCTCTCCGGCTTTGCTCCACAACCTAAGTACCTCGAAGCTGCAGCTCCGGGCTGCGGGAGCAGCGGCGGCAACGGCGCGGCGGCGGAGGCTAGCAGAGTAGCTGGGCTCGAAGGAGCCCGGGGCTGCGGAGGCTGAAGCTGCCGCTGCCGCCCCTGCGGCTGCTGCAATTCGCGGAGCCACCACCGCCTGAAGCAGCCAGGACCCGAGCGAGGAGGAGGAGCCACCCGGGAGTTGCGCGAGCAGCCGGGGCAGACTCCAGCGCCTCCTCCGGGGATAGCAGCCCGAAGCCGAGCGGGAGCGGCAGTGGGAGCAGAGCGGACTGATCATGCTGCTGGACGCGGGGCCGCAGTTCCCGGCCATCGGGGTGGGCAGCTTCGCCCGACACCACCACCACTCGGCGGCCGCAGCGGCAGCGGCCGCGGAGATGCAAGACCGCGAGCTAAGCCTGGCGGCGGCTCAGAACGGCTTCGTGGACTCGGCCGCCGCGCACATGGGCGCCTTCAAGCTCAACCCCGGGGCCCACGATCTGTCCCCTGGCCAGAGCTCGGCTTTTACTTCGCAAGGGCCCGGGGGCTACCCGGGTTCTGCCGCAGCCGCCGCAGCCGCCGCAGCCCTGGGGCCCCATGCAGCCCATGTAGGCTCTTATTCGGGAGCACCCTTTAACTCCACCCGGGACTTTCTGTTCCGCAGCCGGGGTTTTGGGGACTCGGCCCCAGCCGGTGGGCAGCACGGGCTATTCGGGCCAGGGGCTGGAAGCTTGCACCACCCGCACACGGATGCGCAAAGCCACCTTCTGTTCCCAGGGATCCATGAGCAGCACGGTCCCCACGGCTCTCAGAATGTGCTGAACGGGCAGATGCGGCTCGGGCTGCCCGGGGAGGTGTTCGGTCGATCGGACCAGTACCGCCAAGTGTCCAGCCCCCGGACTGACCCTTACTCGGCGGCCCAGCTCCATAACCAATACGGCCCCATGAATATGAACATGGGCATGAACATGGCAGCGGCCGCCGCCCACCACCACCACCACCACCACCACCCAGGTGCCTTTTTCCGCTACATGAGGCAGCAGTGCATCAAACAGGAGCTCATCTGCAAGTGGATCGACCCGGAACAACTGAGCAATCCCAAGAAGAGTTGCAACAAAACTTTCAGCACCATGCACGAGCTAGTCACCCACGTCTCCGTGGAGCACGTCGGGGGCCCTGAGCAGAGTAACCACATCTGTTTCTGGGAGGAGTGTCCTCGGGAGGGCAAGCCCTTCAAGGCCAAATACAAACTGGTCAACCACATCCGTGTTCACACCGGAGAGAAGCCGTTTCCTTGCCCCTTTCCCGGCTGCGGGAAAGTTTTCGCCCGTTCGGAAAATCTGAAGATACATAAAAGGACCCACACAGGTAATTGCTGACTCCTCCGTCTCGAGGGTAGTAGAGAATGGGCCGAAATGTGGTGTTTCCCCTCGAAGGTTGAAGGGGAAAAGAAAAAGTATCTCATTTTATTCGAAAAGGGCCTTGATTCTCGGACCCTATCGACTCGGTGTGTGTGTGTGTGTGTGTGTGTGTGTGTGTGTGTGTGTGTGTGTGTGTGTGTGTGTGTGTGTGTGTGTGTGTGTGTGTGTAGAAAGAGAAGACTACTTTGTTATTGTTTAAGTGTTATCTGTGGCATCCTTTTAGGAAAATGTATTTTAAATGACAAAAACACATCCAGCCCTTTCACAGTGAGAATATTAAATTTTGCAAGACCTCTAAAAATATTGGTGTGAATTGATGGCGCACACACACACGCACAAATAACGCCTACTAACTTGGTGAACATGAGTAGAGCTTGGAGATTATTTTACCAGTTTGAGTTTACTCAATCTCATATGTGTGTGTTTTCATGTGCCTTGTTTAAGGGTCGAAAAGTCCCTTTTGGAGACTGCTTCCTATTAAATTTAACTGGTGTGAGCATGGGCAATAAAACATTTTTCATTTTAAAAGTGTTTTTAAAGTCATACTCGAAGTTATTTGAGGGGGTTTACGGTGGTTTTTGCAACAATTTGTTAAAGTATGTAATGGGCAACGGAGGATTTGAGATTACCAAAACTTAAGCTAAAAACCAGGTAAGCTAAGAGCAGGGCAGCGCAGCTCCTGGTGGGGGAATCGCGTGAGAAGAGAGAGTCGCAAAATAAACACGTCTCCCAGCTTCATATATTATTCATCTATTACTAGGTCCCAGCCAAAATTGTGCCAGACTATTTCATAATAGAAAGCCAAATATTTTAGCAACTTCCACATCAATATTTACTCGAAAACCGGACGAACGGTAGGCCTATTGTTCTCTTCTGTTTTAGGAAGGATACTAGGTGCTAGACAAGCTTTTAACAAGGTTTAAAATTTGAGAAATTTATTTGCATGAAATGCCCGCATTAAAGTCACTGTGTCTGAACGGATGTCTTTAAAAAACAATTTAGGTGCTAATGGAATTTAATGTTAAATGGTTCCCTTTCCAACTAGGGGGATGTTTGAGTTATCACACCTCTAAATTACTCCAAGCATTTGGAATTCTGGCAATAGGGCGTAAAAACCATATGAAAATGAAATGGGGGTGGGGGGGAGAAATTGTAAGGCGTTTGGTTTCTACCGGATCTGTGCCTCCCTGGAACGTCTAGATAGTACCTCTTCCCTAAGCTTTACTTAGAAGAAAAAAAAGGAAAGGAAAAGGAATGGGTGTGATGGCAGAAATCATAGTAATTCTTTTTGCAGGTTGTTAGCTGAAAAATAATGATGTAGTCACCCATCTGTGCCCTCTTCCCAAAACACACACAACAACCCTAAATTTAATAGCCTACTGGCCTCAGATAGAAATAAACTAAGCCCAATAGCCTGTGTGATTTTTTTTAAAATGCTACAAATATTTTGTCATAATAGCAGCTTATTAATGTTGAGACAAACTTATTAGAAGCTACAGATCAATCTATCACTGTTTTAAAAAAAAAGCCCTCCACAGCCAGGGCCACGCCAAATAATATTCATTGAGCTTCCCACTCCCCCCTCCCTCAGCAAACGGACAACAGACTGGAATGATTTTTTTAAAAAATAAAGCATAATTGCCATGTTCCTCCTTGCTTGAAAAAGAAAAATGCAGAATCTTAAAGTGGCTCATAGTCCCTACGGAAGACCACAGCAGCAGCCCTATGCTTCCCCGTCCTACCCGAAATAGGCATCCGCTGTGGAGTGGATTACAAGTCCAAGTTATTTGTTTACTATCATCAAGCCCTGCTTGTTTATGCTTTCCAGGAGAGAAGCCGTTCCAGTGTGAATTCGAAGGCTGTGACAGACGCTTTGCCAACAGCAGCGATCGGAAGAAGCACATGCATGTCCATACTTCGGATAAGCCCTATCTTTGTAAGATGTGTGACAAATCTTACACTCATCCCAGCTCCTTGAGGAAGCACATGAAGGTACTTGGGCAAGCTAGGGCATCCTGGAGAGACGAGGGTCTCGTTTTCTTTCCTTTTTATTTTTGGAATCTTGCCTATGGGTTAGAGTCTGGAAATGGGGTAGTGTTGGTGGAGAAATTCCTACACTAATTGGAAAGGGGAGGAGGGGCGGGATTGCAGCTTCGGCCTAGGCCTCCAGTCTTCTGTGATCCGAGGAGCTCTTAGAAGCCGGGTCTTCTGAGGGACCCTGCTCCCCTGGTTCGGCCCCACAGCAGCTGCACTCACACCTAGTCCCCTCTTGTCCTCCCTCCTTCCTTTTGTCTTTCAGGTCCATGAGTCGTCTCCACAGGGCTCGGAATCTTCTCCAGCCGCCAGCTCGGGCTACGAGTCCTCCACCCCACCCGGGCTAGTGTCCCCTAGCTCCGAGCCCCAGAGTACCACTAATCTGTCTCCGGCTGCTGCGGCAGCTGCGGCGGCAGCGGCGGCGGCGGCGGCAGCAGCCGCTGCGGTGTCCGCGGTGCACAGGAGCAGCGGGGCTGGAGGTGGCGGCGGAGGCGGTGGCAGCGGCGGGGGAGGCAGCGGGGGTGCCGGTGGCGGTGGTGGAGGGGGCGGTGGCAGCAACAGCACCGGCGGGGGCGGTGGGACCGGCGGGGGTCACAGTGGCCTCTCCTCCAACTTCAACGAATGGTACGTCTAAAGGAGGGGCCAATCTCCTTCTCCTAACCCCCCCCTTCCAGTTTTCCCCAATCCAACCAGCCCTCATCCTCCACCCTTCTGCAGAGAAGGGGAAGAGAACAGTTAGTGATTGTGGATGTTTCTATCATTTTTATTCATACCAGCAAAAGGATTTAAAAAGTTAAAACAAAGGATCTAATCTCGAAGAGCAAAAACTTCCCTTCCAAAGTCTCTGAAACGAAAAAAACAAAAAACAAACAAAAAAAACCCAGCGAGGACACCCAACAACATCAAAAAAACAAAAACCCCAAACCAAACTCTCTTGCTTCTCCCTTCTTGCTCTTCCTCCACTCCCTCTTCCCGGTCTAGTTACTCGTCTCCTGACAAACTGTGTACATAGTGGACTCCTCCTTCCTTCTCTGAGGTGGTAACGAAGTTTTAATGGATTCTTGGTGTATAGAAGTTTGTCCATTTGTAAAACGACGGTTGAGTTTCCTCCCCTCCCCCCTTCCTTGCCCAAAGTGATGGACTTTTCTTTTCTTTTTTATTTTTTAGTTCCTCGGTTTATTTTTAAGTAATGTGGAAGAAAATGGTTTATTTTGTATTGTGGTATTGAATATTGTGTTCCTTTTTATGAGGCAACTTGATTGTAATCTTCATGCAACTATAGACTGGAAGAAAAAACCGTGCCAAAGTCTCCATTCTGTTTTTCCAACACAATTCTATACAGCACACATACACACACACACTCACACAAACACACCACCACACACCACCAACGCTTGTGAATGTATTTTTCTGTTAGCTGGGTTTACATGTGATGTTTTAGTGCTTTTGCAAGTTCAATTTGTTAGTTCCTGTACGGAAGATTGTGGGGAAAAATAAACGTTGTGCCGTTAGCTTTTTCCGTAATAACACCCTTCCTTCTGTAAATATCCATTACCATATTTATCCATTTGTAATTAAATTATGGTATTAACTTGCTACAGAGGAAACAATATTTATAAAGAATGTTTCTTAACTATAAATATGTACAATTGTGGGCATAAACTGTTTCAGAATTTTTATTTGAAGGTTTAAGTGGTTTCATCATTTCTTGTGATATGTTTTAAGAGTAATGCATACAGAAATATAATAAAAATGTGTTGAAACTGCATGAACATACTCTTCTTTTATCAAGAGTTTTCCTGAAACAAGAAAGGCATCTAGGGTGTGAAATATATATTTCTCAATGTGTAAAATGACCGAGTTCATGTGGAGGAAGATATTTGTAGACTTAGGCAACATTTTCTTAGGGAGATACTTTCTAAATTATCTTCTATACACACAGTTAGTGGCTGAGAGTGAACTAATATTTTGGAAACTTCTGAGATGCCTAAAGTAAGAAACCTTCAGAACCTTAATGGATTATAAGGGAGCATTTTTCAGCTATTTGGAATGAATTTAGAATATAACAAGCCCTTTTTTCTTTTTTCCCTTTTCTCTTCTTCTCTCTGAAAAGTGAAATTAGATAACTTATTTGTAAACTTACAGCCAAGTGGTAGCACTTTGATTTTGAACTTGGCTAAATGATTATTATTTAATAGTCTGGGTTTACCAATAGGCATTCTTTTTTTTTCCTTGATGTCTTAAGCAAAGATCTGGCTACATAAATCATTTACAATAATTTTCATAGTTTTAATTAGCATAATGCCCCAAAGAAGAAATAATAAATGCAAGATATTTAAATTTAATTTAGAAAATTAAATCATCAACTGTTGCTGTTGGGTGGGGGCACAACCCCCCCAAAAAAAACCAACCAAAAAACATCCCCCATGCAGAGAAAACTGTATCAAGCAAACTAAAATAAAAACAAAATTAAAAACAAATAATTGGAATGGGGGAACCTATTTGTGACATCAGTAACTGGTTGGACTTTTATGGTGAAGATGCAAGATTGTAGAAATAGTTTTAAAGAGCTGTCAAACCGTAAGAACTAGCAAGAAGACAGAAGGCAATTAAAAATAGAGAAGGGCAAAGAAATGGGATAGCGAAAACATTGAGAGTCCAGAAATAATCAAGACGTCTCTATCTTCTTGTACAACTTGGAGATTTAAGACTCAGCTTAGCCTCATTTCCAGTCTTCTGTAGGTAGTAGAGACAGACTGAAGGGACTGGACTGTGCCAACTACAGGGGCAGTAACAAGCAAAGCCTGATTTGCACAGAACCCCCTAGCTCCCTGTGGGGGCTAAGCTGCTTTCCACTGAAACCTGTGCAAAGCCACTGGCTTCTTTAAATCTCAGCCAAAGACCAGAGCTATTTGTGGTGATGGTACTTGCTTCTTCCAGGTCTCCAATCTACACCCCACCCTCTCACTTATTATACCCTTGATGGCTGGAAAAATAGGCAAAGGTAGGTAACTCAGCTCCAAAACTGCCACTCTTGTTTGCTTGAACACTGTAACTGCTACCTGTTTAGTAGGCAACCTTGGACAAACATAAACCAATCGTGAAGGGGGGAGGAGAGAAGATGGAGTGAGAGGAAAGTAAAAAGTCTAAGGGGCGCTATATCTCCAGGGACAAAGTTTGAGTCCATTTCAGTGTGTGTGTGTGTGTGTGTGTGTGTGTGTGTGTGTGTGTATCCCAAACGATGGAATCTCTTCACTCTCAGCTGCCTTGTAGCTGTGAAACACCAATTCCTAAAGTAATTAGGCCACTATTAAAATCCAATTCATAATCCATAATAATATTAAGCAAAATTATTAAAAATAATTGGCATATGTTACTAAATCTTAGGAGACCTCGCCAGAAATTATAACTATGGGGAGGAAGAGTCTCAGGTTTTCACCATCCTCCTTTCTCTCCCTCTTCCTCCCTCTCTGTATTGTTAGTGGTGGGGAGAAGGAAGGAGGTGATGCAATTAAGCAATATTTATTACAGGTTTGTTTTTTTTTAAAAGACTAATTTCAGACATAGGTTTTAAAATGTCAGCAGTTTTGAAACCTTAGGTCATTCTTAGTGGAAAAAAAGAACTGTGAGCAGACAACTTTAGTCACCTCAAGGGTCTTACAGACATTTTCTTCCAATGAGCTGCTAGCAGTGTTGTGGGGGGGGGTGTTTTAGAATACATTGTGTATTTATAAGAATACAAGTCACCGATTTACTCTACTATCTTCAAGGTCTAAACTTAAAAGGAACGACTGTGTTGAGTCCCCTTCTGAACTCAGGATAGTTGGGCCCCAGTGTGGAAGTGGGAAATAAACTTTGGGGGTGGGAAAGGATTCTGTGGGTAGAGGAAGGATGTGGGAGAAAGAGAATGGAGTGGAGAGAAGGGAAGAACTCAGCCTTTGCAGTTCATCTAAACGTATGCCCCAGAATTAGGTGGGCCAACAGTGTTGAGGGCAGCAGAAACAGGGAGAATTCTATAGGAGAGGAGCCTTGGGCCTCTTTGTACAGACCACTGTTCCCTCTTGGCCAAAGCTTCTCAAGTACAAAGGCTTCCAGCTTCGCCTCAGTTTTGCCTCTCGTTCTTAAACAAAACAACACAGAGAATTTAGCGTTGATTTTCGAAAGGCTATTCCTAGTCCTTCCTATTTTCCCTCTTACGATGAAGATTCTTAGGGGGTAAGGAAACTTGTTATTTCTTTTAAAACGTATATTTTAATTTCAAGTCCTTTAAAATAACCATATACACAGGAGATGGTTCCAAACAGGAATGAACAAGATTGGCTGGGGAGGGCGTTTTGGGGGAGAACCCAACCTTGCCCCTGCGGAACTAAATTCTTACTCGCCATTATTTTAGCTCCTCAGATACAGCAAAGTGAAACAGGTCGTCCCAGGCTGGCTAACAAAGCTGCTTTTTCATTCCTGGCCTGGGGGAAAGGGGAGACAACAGTGGACTAGAGAGTGGCTTTTCCCGCCCCCGCCCCCCCATCCCCAGGCTGACTGACAATGAACTTGAACTTCAATTTGACTTCGCTAGCCCACAACCTAACATAAAGCATCCTCTTTGCATTCTTCGTTCTCCTCGCCAAAATAAAACCCCATAAACCTATCTTTCCTCCTATCTTTACTAACAAACAGATGGAGCGCAGCTTGGGATATGCTTTATTATTATCAATACTATTACCGTTAATAAAAAGAATAATAAGAAAAATGATAACTGAAATCTATTTCAGATATCTTCTTAACGATTTCCTCCAAACCACTGGACTCACATTATATACCCTTACGGGCATATAATACATGTTTGTATTTTGTGAGTGTTGAAGGGGATAAGAGGAAAGGTAGAGGGAGGGGAGGAGGGGGAGGAGGTGGAAGCGAAAGGAAACAGGTCAGAGGAATTGGCTGAATCTCTGCTTGGAAGCTCAGAAGCCCCTACAGTCCCTCTCCTTTTCTATTATTTTCCGTCAATCGCCTCCCCATCCCCTACCCCCTTTTGTCTACCTTTCAGGCTGCTGTTTTCAGACTTCACGTTTTTATTGCCTGCAACAAACCAGGGGCAGATTCTGGGCAAAACCAGAAATGCCCCTGGCTATCCTGAGCTCGCTGCCTTTCTTACGTACTGGAGGAGTTAGGAGAAAGAGCCCTATTCTCTTTCTGCCAAGCCAACAGAACTCAGGGCTGCCAGAAGGCTGCGGAAAATGCGGCGAGCTTCCGCAATAATGCCTCTTGAACTCACATACTCATACTCTTCCTCACTCGGAGACCCACGGGAGCGTGCAGAAACGTAGGCGCATGCAAGTATACAGTCACAGTTGTGGAAATGGAGTCACGAGGGTGAATTTCACACAAAAGAAAGGGGAGAAAGTCTCGTTTATAATTACCCCACCACCTCAAATATTTGGACCTTTTCATGTGTTGCTACCTAAACTGAGACAATCACTGGGTAAATTCCATTGAAAATCTGGTGCCCGGGCGCAGGATAGACACGCAATAAATACTTGTTAATGAATTGCTTATAATTTTTGATATCGCTTTGACTCCAGCCTAAGCTGGATCCCATTTTCCCACTTGATAAGAGATTAACTTCTGCAGACCATAGCGAACGGGTTTCTCTTTTTAACTATATCCTATCATAACATTATCCTGTAGCGTGCCATCCTCTCCACCGACAAAAGACAAGGCAAACACATTGTTTAATAGGGAAAAAGGAACCCCCAAATATTCAAGTACTGAGCTACTCCCTCCGTTCCACTCCACCCCCACCATGACCGCTGCGCTGGTGTGTAGTCATTTCAGACTGGGACTGTGCATAAAATATGCTGCCCTTACTCTGTCTTTCCGTAGTGCTACAATTACTGGGGGGTGGGTTGGAAGA